ATGAGCATGAGCAGAAAAATCACATAATAATATCGAATAAGAGATACAATAAGCAATCTTTGAAACAGTTACAAGCAGATGCCTAATTTGGCAAATCACTTGTAATCAATTCGGCCTCGACCCATACGTTTATGTCAATCGGCCTACAGCCCCAATCATTTATGTCAAAAATCATGCTCGGTAAAACCCAATCATCATTGAATCAAACGGCCTATCGGCCAACATTTTGTCAATCGGCCTTCGGCACACAGATCATTTATGTCAATTCGTTGGTACCAACCATTCAATTAATGAACTTACAAAACTTACAGTAGAAGATTACAATTGGGAGAACAACACATTTCAAAATATCTGTAAGATAATTACTCACACAGTGATCGGCTTGTGGATTTGCCTTGGAAGCTGACCCTACACTCCATTCTATACACATATGGAAAGATCACAAAAAAGAATTCAAATCCAAATTTCTTAATTTTCCCACATTATTTCCTCCTTTTAGGCTTTACATTATATATATTAATCTCTTTTAATCATTTACCACAATGCTTAATGCATCCTAGAATCGCTAGCAAGTCGAAAAGAGACGGAAAATGAAACACAAAATCTCTCTCAATATATATATTTTTTTATATATTTTTTAAAAAAATTAAAAAATATTAATTTTTAATCGGCTTTTCAAAGCAACCTACTCCTATCATTTGAAAGTTTGTCCGAGATAAGCAAGGGGTTATACAAAAATTCCAAATAATAATGATTTATTTATAAATAATGCTATATGTATCCATTAGTATACTAATTAATATATCAATATTAGTTATGATATTATTATTGACCTTACTTATTATACAAATTATAAATATTTAAAATTTCTAAAATTATGCTACATCAACTGTTAGTATATTAATTGATATATTAATTGGTGTATATAATATTTTTTATATAAAAAAATAATAATAAATATACACTACTATAATAAATACTTTTTGCTAGTGAGACCAAATTACCATTTTATACATTTGTCTCTAGTTTATCTTTTTTTGTTTTTATCATTTTATAATTAACATATTAAATAATATTAAGCTAATGATGAAATACATCAAAAAAAATTTTAACCATATTTAATCAAATTTTCCCATAAAAAAGTGGTAGAAAATTAGGCACATAATAAAAAGTTGAAGGAGAAAAAAAAATTAAATATTTTTTTCATCATAAAGAAATTATGATGCCCGTCCAAAAAAAAAAAAAAAAAATTAAAATATATATTTACGTCGGGGGGAATAATTACTGCAAAAAATGAACCTTTTGCGACAGCCATAGTTTTGCTGTTGCAAAAACCATTGAACATATGCTCCTTTCTTTTTGAAAGAGAAATTACCGTTGCAATAAGTGACCATTGGTGACGGAATATTTGTCGTCGCAAAAGTCAGCCTTTTGAGACCAAAACGTATGCCGTCGCAAAAAATTTCGTGTCATATACCCCTTTTTCTAGTAGTGAGGCGGCAAACCATAATGATCTGCCTTGGACGACGTGCCTATCAAGCGGCATGCACAGAACCGACGTGACCTGATAGCGCGTGTCAGGTACGAACTAATGAGGGAGCAACGCGTGGAGAAAACGGTTAATGGTTAGATTGTATGGCTGTTGTTTTTAAATTAAAACTTATAATTGTTGGTGTGTTATTTTGCAGTGTCCAGACCCTCATTTCAAGAAAAAGTATCATAAAAGAAGGGTTTTGCAGAAGCCTTTAGTGGAGTCTATTGTAGATAGTTTAATGCCTGGAGGACAGGTATTGCTCAACATATCAATGATTTTGCAAGACCGGTCATATTTGCTACAGCTAGTGAATGCATTTGCATTATAAATGCTTCTTTGTACATGCTAGACAAACTCTTTATTTGATTATCAGTTATCTGATTATGACTATAAATGAATTGTTTTAAGTATTGTTCTGTTTGACTATAAAAAAAAAGAAGTTACGTTCTATGTAAACATGAATTTACTTCTTGGGACCGTGGAGACCTTAGCTGGATGGAATTTTATCAGGCCATATTTTTTTACTTGGTTACTCTGATTGACTCAAGTGATTAACATTCAGGAAATTAGATAACAAAAAAATAACACTTAATTCTCCAAAGACATTTTAGCTTTTCCATTCAAGCCTGTAGTTAACTCTTAGAAGTCACGGAGGATACCGAGGCATTTAACTAACACTTACACATCACAAGAAATAAGAGAACAAAGAAGACTGAAGAACCAGAATTGGCCTTAAACAGAAATAATAACAAATTTCTGAAGATAGTTGCTTCACCCTATTAGCGTAACATCTTGGCTTCATTTTTATGTAGACATCCTATCCAAAGCATAGACTTTTCCAAAATGTTGCATGTTTCTTCACGTGTGGCTTATGTTGATCAGTTCCTTGTGTTGATTCACTCTTTGTGATTGTTTGAACCACTGGATATAGAACTAGCCACTTTTATTTATCTCTTTTGTACAGGGATTAGGTAATTTGTGTATAACCAAGTGAACTATACTTATATTTTTAGTTGAATATGATAATTGATATAGACCCTCGTTAAACTTTAGGCCTCCTGTGTGTTATGTATGATTCCTAGTCTTGTCCTATCAAAAAGGAAATGCTAAACATACAAATTTTTTATGCAAAAAAGTCATGCAGAGTTGTAATTATGATTCGTAGTGACGGGCTTTTTAATTTTGAATAAATGAATACATGTAAATTATGTTTGTGTATCGTTACCCTGTCAAAAGGCTTTCCCTGTTGCAAACATTACATCAGAAGATATTTTGCTTGGTTAAATGGCTTCGTCTTTTATAGAAGCCATTCTAGAGTTGACACTATTAAATCAGCACTAGGATTTCACAAAATGGCTTCAGAATGCATTTCACACCTCGGAATGCACTGTTCTTATAGAGATAAACTAAAGATAAATGCGCTTTCACATCTTCTTAACCCGAAATGGCTGGGGAGAGGAATGTCTTTCACTTCCAACTAGAATAATGAGTAACCTCTTGATTTTTAAATGGCAGTTCCAAAAAAATGTACTTCTATATCAAAAAAGCGTATTCGTAAAAAAATTTGGAAAAAGAAAGGATATTGGACAATCTTTTTTTGTCTGTCCTTTTTGTTTTCAAGTTTTTGTCTTTGATGGATGGGTTTTCTTTTCCCATCATGTTCATATTTGCAGTGCAGAGAGAAATTCTATTTTCATTGACATTTGAATTCACCTTAGATGATAGTTGATCAATTCTTACATTTCAGTGCTAAGCCTATGTAAATAATCTTGAAATGTTTGTTGTTTCTTGCTTAGATTCATTTTGTTTTTCACTGTGCACATTTTTTTTACTCTATTTATCTTCTTTTGTTTTCTTTCCTTTTTCTTCTTACTTCTCATAAAAGAGAAGTGCATCATATTTGTATGTAAACTAGGTTTTTTTGGACAGTTATTCAAATAGGTAACTAGGGAAATCAACTAGAACTTGCAAAATCATTTTGTTTCTGAACATTGCTTTCTCCCAAATCCCATCAACATTTGAATTGTACTTCAGTAATTTGCTAGATTGCTGCAAAATCACAAAGCTAGACACTATGTTGACTATCTTGTATTTAAAAACGCAAGAAGGGATGTAACCTTTGTACGCTGGGGGGGTATATAAAAAGATAACAAAAATATCATATACAGCATCTACAGAAGATAACTCCCCTATAAAATCGATAATGCAAAGATAAAGGAACACAAAATTTTCATTCTATCCAAAAATTGAAGGAATGTAAAAGTGCCACATTGATTCTATGATTTCCCTCTTCCACTTTCTCAAAGTCCTATTACCCACTCCTCCCCCTTCCACAAACATGACATCAAACAAAGTAGGATAACACCTATGCCATCTCTCACAAAGATGAACCACCGAATCTGCCATCGCTAACACTAAAAAAAATAGAGAAGAGATGCTCTAAAGGTCATTAGCCACCTCAAAGAGTAAAAGGAGGTGGTCCACCAGTTCTTCAGCCATCTTACACATACAACAGTAATTGAGAAGCACATTTCCCCTTTTCCCCAAATTATCAATGGTTAACATAGCCTCCAAAGCCGCATTCCACACAAAGACACCTTTCGCTGTGATCACTGGAATCTGAATGCTTTTCCATAGAAAGAAAGCTCTAAAGCTATATTATCTAAAATGTTGATTGTTCTTGTACGTAAAATGGGAACGGAAATGTGGTACGCCATATGCTCGAAAAAGTGATATGATTGGGGTAGATTTGTATAAATTATACTATAAGAATTAAAGATACTTCTAGAGTAAACTTTAATATATACATATATATTATTAGGCATCGAATAAAATTTAGTTTTTTCCCTCCAAATTAATCGTGTAGCAAAACATTTCTACGAGCATTATGACCCAATTTTGACATTGTCTTGTCAAAATTTCACTCACCTTATATTATATTTGATTCTTTTTCTTCTTAAGACACTTTTAAGGAAACATAGCGGAACATTTTTTTGGGATCGTTTTGAATCACTATATTTATTTTGGAACGGAAGTGTACTTTATATATTTCATGCGTGTCCTCCACGTGTCGTGTCCTGCATTTTTTTAAAATTAACGTGTCGGCGTGTCCGTGTCGTATTCGTGTCCGTGTCCATGCTTCTTAGTTGGCCATTGAAGAAAACAGATTTTCAAAAACCAGAGAGTCCTAGATAATGATCCGAAGACAAATACCTAGCGAGCTTTAACACCAATTTTATTTAAATATGTAGCAAAAATTCTTGTTGACACGCACTCCCCAAATGAGACTAAAGTAGTCTTTTGTGAGTAAAGTCAACTCTTTGACTTGAGCAATTGCCTTCAGAAGTTGATCCAATTCTTCTAGGTGTGTTGTAAAATATTTTCACAAGCAAAACATGACAACCCAAACATGCATAAGCATACATGGATGGGGAGTGAGATATAGAGAAAGAGAAGATGAACCTACCGAGCCTGAATGAAGCAGCAGTCGTCCAGCAACGGCAAACAGCGGAAACCCGACGGTCGACAAATGTTTCTGCCATGTGGGGTGGCTATCCTAGTTCAGCATAGTGTTCCAAGGAGGTGAACACATTACACTGCTCTTTAAAAGAATCAAAAATACTAGTTAAGAGAGGAAAAATAAAAGAGAAAGGATGAATGAAAAAACAGATGCCCTTCTGAAAGCTATGATCTGTGCCTAAGTTCATTTTTGTTCTAATGTGACCATATCACTTATTTGTATATGCACATCCATGATTTATCACATCGATTGAAAATAACAAAGGTACTAATTACCAATAAAATAAAGTATTCATCAAAGAAAATGTAATGCAAACATACAGCCATTCAAAAGCTGAAAAGCTTTGCTCTTAGAACACCCATGCAAGGACATTAACCCTGAATGAGGATTGTCATTAGCAACATTGCTGCCAACTAAATCCACATGATCAGCAACACGAATGTTTCTTGAGTTGAGGCGGCAACTAGATTTTTCTCTCCATCATTCATGTAATTGTTGTTTGTTCGTTCAAATAGATCTGCACAATGAAAAGGACAATCTTCAGCATATGAAACATGGTACAATAGTTTTGCATGTAATGTTTGCAAATGATGTACCAAGTGTTCTGTTTCCTTGGCCATTAGGCTAAAAAAGTATATGACCTGCAAAAGGATAGAGAAATTAATCAAAATCAAAGAAGTTAATCTATAAAATATCCCAGGGCACTCAAATATATAGAAAGTTCTTGAATGAATATACACATGCAACCAAAAAAATTGTACACTATGGCCTACAATATCACTAATATTTTCCAAAAAACAAGCTTAGGTGACCACGTAATTGTAAATTATTCTTAACTAATCCTACTATAAATTATAGTAAGGCTGGTTTTCAAAACTTCGGGGCAAGTCATTATGGTCAGATATTGTAGTTGAAGTAATGTGTTAGGGTCTTTTTAGATCTATATGTGCACGTATCTCTAACAAAATGAGAGGAAAAAAAGATATTTCTAAAAAAGTCAAATACCATAGTTTTTTTCCTCAATCTTTTTCCACCTTGAACTTGATTTTTCAATTTGTTCTTGAGGCTGAATTTTAATTGGGTCTGCCTAAGTATATATTAGCATTTAGCACTATATATTATTTTTTCTGGCTCAAGACTTTTAGTTGTTTGTGTGCCCATATCTGATATTCAGCTTGAGCTATTGTTGGGTAGTTTCATTAGATGCCACATTATAGCTTAAACCAGTCATGAATATTGTGAACCCGGAGTTGTCAGTTGGCCTTATGCGATTGATAGATACACGTTAAGTAAATCTTGTTATGAATGCACTATGAGGAAACAAGGTATGCAGGTGCATCCTAATTCATCACAATGGACATCAAAATCAATTTTTGGCCATGGGACAAAAGATAGATATTTGAAAGCTGTAGGCTCCCTAAAAACATTGAGATTGCAATAAAAGAGAGAAGCATTGCTGGATATTTCAAGAGCATTGACATAAAATGGTTATGCACATTTTGTTTCAGTTTTTGTTTATTCTTTTGAATGAGCAATAATCAGGTAGCAGAGTTCCTGGCATTGGGATTAATCTGAAGCATTTCATGACCTTATAATGAATAAAAAAACAGAATCAGCAGCTCAACTGTCCGGTAAAATAGCAAAATAAGTTCTCAGCAACATGAAGATTCAGAATCATAAGATTTAATCATGTAGAAAGAAGTAAAACTTGTATTAGGAACTGGTAGTTTCTAATATTCCCATCAAAAATTATGTCCTAATACATCAAACCAAACTCAAACAAATTGAAAGAATGAGGGATAGAACCAAATTCACCCAATTCTGGATTAACTAGGCTACAAAGTCAATTAGGATCATTAATTTGTGTGGCCGTGCAAGTGAGAGGGAACTTTGAAATTAACAACACAAGTTTATTATTCTACGGGATTTCAATCTGTAATACAAATTTCGAATGCAAAGAGATAACCTTTACCTTCAAGCTCTAGGTTTTTACAAATTTCAAATTCATAACACAAATATCAAATGCAAAATTCTTAAATTAAAACCGAGAGAAAGAGAGAGTCATTGCCTTCAAACTCTAGGGTTTACGAAGGAAGTAAAAGAGAGGTACCGATTGAACGTTGAAGACTCCTAAAGCTCCTAGAGAGGTGATATCCATGTACTAACCGAGATCGATGGCGAGATCGAGAGAGAGTGGGCGGTGATGTCGGCTTGGTGAAGGTGGATCAACAAACTTATGCCAGCAGGAGTGAACTCGTAGATGGAAGATATAGAGAGAGACAGAGAGAGGGAAAAATGAAAATATCAAAGGCGCCAAGTGTTTTATATATTTAGGAATTTTGGGCGTTTTGTGGCTATTAGCGACGACACAATGATGCCTGTCGCAGAAAAAAAAATTAAATATATATTTACGTCGGGAGGGAATAATTACCGCAAAAAATGAGCCTTTCACGACAGCCATAGTTTTGCTGTCACAAAAACAATTGAACATATGCTCCTTTCTTTTTGAAATAGAAATTACCGTCGCAATAAGTGACCATTGGTGACGGAATATTTGCCATCGCAAAAGTCAGCTTTTTGAGACCAAAAAGTATGTCGTCGCAAAAAACTTCGTGTCATATACCCCTTTTTCTAGTAGTGAGGCGGCAAACCATAATGATCTGCCTTGGACAACGTGTCTATCAGGCGGCATGCACAGAAGCGACGCGACTTGATAGCGCGTGTCAGGTACAAACTAATGAGGGAGCGACGCGTGGAGAAAACGGTTAATGGTTAGATTGTATGGCTTTTGTTTTTAAATTAAAACTTATAATTGTTGGTATGTTATTTTGTAGTGTCCAGACCCTCATTTCAAGAAAAAGGATCATAAAAGAAGGGTTTTGTAGAAGCCTTTAGTGGAGTCTATTGTAGATAGTTTAATGCCTAGAGGACAGGTATTGCTCAACATATCAATGATTTTGCAAGACCGATCATATTTGCTACAGCTAGTGAATGCATTTGCATTATAAATGCTTCTTTCTACAAGCTGGACAAACTTTTTATTTGATTATCAATTATCTGATTATGACTATAAATGAATTGTTTTAAGTATTGTTCTGTTTGACTATAAAAAAAAAGAAATTACGTTCTGTGTAAACATGAATTTACTTCTTCGGACCGTGGAGACCTTAACTGGATGGGATTTTATCAGGCCATATTTTTTTACTTGGTTACTCTGATTGACTCAAGTGATTAACATTCAGGAAATTAGATAACCAAAAAAAAAAAACACTTACTTCTCCAAAGACATTTTAGTTTTTCCATTCAAGACTATAGTTAACTCTTAAAAGTCATGGGGGATACCGAGGCATTTAACTAACACTTACACATCACAAGAAATAAGAGAACAAAGAAGACTGAAGAACCAGAATTGGCCTTAAACAGAAATAATAACAAATTTCTGAAGATAGCTGCTTCACCCTATTAGCGTAACATCTTGGCTTCATTTTTATGTAGACATCCTATCCAAAGCATAGACTTTTCCAAAATGTTGCATGTTTCTTCACGTGTGGCTTATGTTGATTAGTTCCTTGTGTTGATTCACTCATTGTGATTGTTTGAACCACTGGATATAGAACCAGCCACTTTTATTTATCTCTTTTGTACAGGGGTTGGGTAATTTGTATATAGCCAAGTGAACTATGCTTATATTTTTAGTTGACTATGATAATTGATATAGACCCTCGTTGAACTTTAGGCCTCCTGTGTGTTATGTATGATTCCTAGTCTTGTCCTATCAAAAAGGAAATGCTAAACATACAAATTTTTTATGCAGAAAAGTCATGCAAAGTTGCAATTATGATTCGTAGTGACGGGCTTTTTAATTTCGAATAAATGAATACATGTAAATTATGTTTGTGTATCGTTACCCTGTCAAAAGGCTTTCCCTGTTGCAAACATTACATCAGAAAGATATTTTGCTTGGTTAAATGGCTTCGTCTTTTATAGAAGCCATTCTAGAGTTGACACTATTGAATCAGCACTAGGATTTCACAAAATGGCTTCAGAATGCATTTCACACCTCGGAATGCACCGTTCTTATAGAGATAAACTAAAGATAAATGCGTTTTCACATCTTCTTAACCCGAAATGGCTGGGGAGAGGAATGTCTTTCACTTCCAACTAGAATAATGAGTAACCTCTTGATTTTTAAATGGCAGTTCCAAAAAATGTACTTCTATATCAAAAAAGCGTATTCGTAAAAAAATTTGGAAAAAGAAAGGATATTGGACAATCTTTTTTTGTCAGTCCTTTTTGTTTTCAAGTTTTTGTCTTTGATGGATGGGTTTTCTTTTCCCGTCATGTTCATATTTGCAGCGCAGAGAGAAATTCTATTTTCATTAACATTTGAATTCACCTTAGATAATGGTTGATCAATTCTTACATTTCAGTGCTAAGCCTTTGTAAATAATCTTGAAATGTTTGTTGTTTCTGGCTAAGATTCATTTTTTTTTTCACTGTGCACATTTTTTTTACTCTATTTATCTTCTTTTGTTTTCTTTCCTTTTTCTACTTACTTCTCATAAAAGAGAAGTGCATCGTATCTGTATGTAAACTAGGTTTTTTTGGATAGTTATTCAAATAGGTAAATAGGGAAATCAACTAGAACTTGCAAAATCATTTTGTTTCTGAACATTGCTTTCTCCCAAATCCCATCAACATTTGAATTGTACTTCAGTAATTTGCTAGATTGCTGCAAAATCACAAAGCTAGACACTGTGTTGACTATCTTGTATTTAAAAAAGCAAGAAGGGGTGTAACCTTTGTACGGTGGGGGGGTATATAAAAAGATAACAAAAATATCATATACAACATCTACAAAAGATAAGTCCCCTATAAAATCAATAATGCAAAGATGAAGGAACACAAAATTTTCATTCCATCCAAAAATTAAAGGAATGTAAAAGTGCCTCATTGATTCTATGATTTCCCTCTTCCACTTTCTCAAAAGTTCTATTACCCACTCCGCCCCCTTCCACAAACGTGACATCAAACAATGTGGGATAACACCTATGCCATCTCTCATAAAGATGAACCATCGAATCTGCCATCGCTAACACCAAAAAAAATAGGGAAGAGATGCTCCAAAGCTCATTAGCCACCTCAAAGAGTAAAAGGAGGTGGTCCACCAGTTCTTCAGCCTTCTAACACATACAGCAGCAATTGAGAAGCACATTTCCCCTTTTCCCCAAATTATCAATGGTTAACATAGCCTACAAAGCTGCATTCCACACAAAGACACCTTCGTTATGATCATTGGAATCTGAATGCTTTTCCATAGAAAGAATGCTCTGAAGCTATATTATCTAAAATGTTGATTGTTCTTGTACGTAAAATGGGAATGGAAATGTGGTATGCCATATGCTCTAAAAAGTGGTATGATTGGGGTAGATTTGTATAAATTATACTATAAGATTTAAAGATACTTCTAGAGTAAACTTTAATACATATATATATATATATATTATTAGGCATCCAATAAAATTTAGTTTTTTCCCTCCAAATTAATCATGTAGCAAAACATTTCTACGAGCATTATGACCTAATTTTGACATTGTCTTGTCAAAACTTCACTCACCTTATATTATATTTGATTCTTTTTCTTCTTAAGACACTTTTAAGGAAACATAGCGGAACATTTTTTTGGGATCGTTTTGAATCACTATATTTATTTTGGAACGGAAGTGTACTTTATTTCGGAATGCGAGTTCCAAAACGTAATTCGTTATGGTATTAGCTTTTTTTGGTAACATTGCTCTAACATCGCCAAGAAGGTGATGGAATGATTAACGTTGCTAAGAAGAAACCTATCCCTCCTGCTCTTTTTCCCCTCGAATATATCTCAACTAGGCAAGAGAGTATAGATCAGGTGGTTAGACATTTTTTCTTTTTCATATTTTCATGAATTCATGAGCATCTCTCTGCCTACATGAAAGTAATAGACTGTTTTATGAAAAGAGAGGGAAAAAAAAGAAGGAAAGTTCTATAGCATACAACTTTATTACTTCTACATGATGATATCTGCAATGTAAATTGTATTGTGGGCACGGATGTCGTGCATATAACACTTGCTGAGATGTGTGATTGTTGTGGAATAGGTATTTATACAATCTGATATGCTTGAAGTGGCACTTGATATGAGGGAAAAGTTTGATGCTGTTTCGGATGAGCTTATGCACATTGACAAAATTGACACCAACATGCTTTGTGACGATGAGGGGTGGTTAGTGAGTAATCCAATGGAAATATGGACAGAGAGAGAGATCCATGCAGAATTTGAAGGTGCAAAAATATAAAGGAGGATGTATCAGAAGCAGATATAAATATAATTTATTTTTGTCAAGCCATTATTTGCTTAGGAAGGATATCTTGTTATGCACTTTTGCTCCAATCCTGTTGTGTAGAACCATGTAAGAACCCTAGGTGCCCAGTTCCTTTGTGCTTCAAGAGTCAATTAGTTCAGCTTTTGAGTTTTCAGACGTGCAAAAGTGGATCTTTTGTTTTTTTATTTTTTTTGTTTTTTGTTTCTTATATGTTTCTCACCCTCTTGGTGGTCATTCATTCTCATTTGAGATTTAATCCTCCATCAAACTAAAAATATGAAAAACAAAAAAGATAGCCATCATAAACCCAATTGCAGTCTTTTTTGGAGTAGGTGGACAAGTACTTGAGATGATTTCCTAAAACAAAATCAAGGGTTAGGAAAACCAGTTCAACCTATCAAGTTTTATAGGGAAGAGCTTATGCATAAGCTTTAGCATCAGGCCGGACTGAACCGTGAAAATAGAGCCCAAGATTGCCTAGGGGTTCTGGCTGAGCTGGCCTGTGGACGAAAATCTTAAGCCCAATCCTTGCCCAACAGGTTTGACCTGTTTGAGTTTGCGGGCTGGGTTGATAGGTCGGTCAACAGGCCGTCTCCCACATACCAATGAGTTGAACTCGCGAGCTGGCCTGTGGGTTAAGTTCAACGGATTGAGATTTAAGACTTCTATCTTTTATTTTTTAAGCTCATTTTCACTTTTTCTGCTATTCTTAATGAGATTGCAGCGTGAACAGATGGGTGGCCCAACCCAAGCCTAAAGCTTTACCTACATTAAAAACATGATAGGATTCTCATTTCTTCTATATTTGATTCCTACGATCTAGCCTGGATCCAAATCTGACTTAAAGACATGTTAAAATTCGATCCTATAATTGAAAATAAATAATATTTCTTTTGTCACTACTAAAAAAATTAGATTAATT